GTAAGTCCTTATAAGTTGATCACCTATAATATCATGTGTAAGTCCTTATAAGTTAATCACCTATAATATCTTCTGTAAGTCCTTATAAGTTAATCTCCTATAATGTCATGTGTAAGTCCTTATAAATTAATCACCTATAATATCTTGTGTAAGTCCTTATAAGTTAATCACCTATAATGTCATGTGTAGGTCCTTATAAGTTAATCACCTAAAATATCTTGTGTAAGTCCTTATAAGTTATTCACCTATGATATCTTGTGTAAGTCTTTATAAGTTAATCGCCTGTAATGTCTTGTGTAAGTCCTTATAACTTAATCACCTATAATTACTTGTGTAAGTCCTTATAAATTAATCATTTATAATGTCCTGTGTAAGTCCTTATTAGTTAATCACCTGTAATGTCTTGTGTAAGTCCTTATAAGTTAATCACTTATAATGTCTTGTGTAAGTCCTTATGAGTTCATCACTTATAATGTCTTGTGTAAGTCCTTATCAGGTAATCACCTATAATATCTTGTGTAAGTCCTTATAAGTTAATCACCTGTAATATCTTGTGTAAATCCTTTTAAATTAATCACCTATAATGTCTTGTGTAAGTCCTTATAATTTCATCACTTATAATGTCTTGTGTAAGTCCTTATAAGTTAATCACCTATAATATCTTGTGTAAGTCTATATAAGTTAATCACCTATAATGTCTTGTGAAAATCCTTATAAGTTATTCACCTATAATGTCTTGTGTAAGTCCATATAATTTAATCACTTATAATGTCTTGTGTAAGTCCTTATAAGTTAATCACCTATAATGTCTTGTGTAAGTCCGTATAATTTAATCACTCATAATGTCTTGTGTAAGTCCTTATAAGTTAATCACTTATAATGTCTTGTGTAAGTCCTGATAAGTTAATCACCTAAAATATCTTGTGTATGTCCTTATAAGTTAATAACCTATAATGTCATGTGTAAGTCCTTATAAGTTAATCACATATAATATATTGTGTAAGTTCCTTATACGTTAATCACCTATATATCTTGTGTAAGTCCTTATAAGTTAATCACCTATAATGTCTTGTGTAAGTCCTTATAAGTAATCACCTATAATGTCTTATGTAAGTCCCTATAAGTTAATCACCTATATTGTCTTGTGTAAGTCCTTATAAGTTAATCACCTATAATGGCTTGTGTAAGTCCTTATAAGTTTATCACATATAATGCCTTGTGTAAGTCCTTATAAGTTAATCACCTATAATGTCTTGTGTAAGAACTTATAAGTTAATCACCTATAATATTTTGTGTAAGTCTATATAAGTTAATCACCTATAATGTCAAGTGTAAGTCCTTATAAGTTAATCACCTATAATGTCTTGTGTAAGTCCATATATGTTAATCACCTATAATGTCATGTGTAAGTCCTTATAAGTTAGTCACCTATAATATCATGTGTAAGTCTATATAAGTTAATCGCCTGTAATGTCTTGTGTAAGTCCTTATAAGGTAATCACCTATAATGTCTTGTGTAAGAACTTATAAGTTAATCACTTATAATATCTTGTGTAAGTCCTTGTAATTTAATCACCCATAATGTCATGTGTAAGTCCTTATAAGTTAATCATCTATAAAGTCATGTGTAAGTCCTTATAAGTTAATCACCTATGATATCTTGTGTAAATCTTTATAAGTTAATCGCCTATAATGTCCTGTGTAAGTCCTTATAAATTAATCACCTATAATGTCTTGTGTAAGTCCTTATAATATAATCACTTATAATGTCTTGTGTAAGTCCTTATTAGTTAATCACCTACAATGTCTTGTGTAAGTCCTTATAAGTTAATCACTTATGATGTCTTGTGTAAGTCCTTATAAGTTAATCATTTATAATGTCTTGTGTAAGTCCTTATAAGTTAATAACCTATAATATCTTGTGTAAGTCCTTATAAGTTAATCACCTGAAATATCTTGTGTAAGTCCATATAAGTTAATCACCTATAATGTCATGTGTAAGTCCTTATAAGTTAATCACCTATAATATCTTGTGTAAGTCCTTGTAAGTTAATCACCTATAATGTCATGTGTAAGTCCTTATAAGTTAATCATCTATAACGTCATGTGTAAGTCCTTATAAGTTAATCACCTATAATATCTTGTGTAAGTCCTTATAAGTTAATCACCAATGATATCTTGTGTAAGTCTTTAATAGTTAATCGCCTATAATGTCTTGTGTAAGTCCTTATAAGTTAATCACCTATAATGTCTTGTGTAAGTCCTTATAATTTAATCACTTATAATGTCTTGTGTAAGTCCTTATTAGTTAATCACCTATAATGTCTTGTGTAAGTCCTTATAAGTTAATCACTTGTAATGTCCTGTGTAAGTCCTGATAAGTTAATCACCTAAAATATCTTGTGTAAGTCCTTATAAGTTAATCACCTATAATGTCTTGTGTAAATCCTTATAAGTTAATCACTTATAATGTCTTGTGTAAGTCTTTATAATTTAATCACTTATAATGTCTTGTGTAAGTCCTTATAAGTTAATCACCTACAATGTCATGTGTAAGTCCCTATAAGTTAATCACCTATAATATCTTGTGTAAGTCCTTATAAGTTAATCACCTATAATATCTTGTGTAAGTCTAAATAAGTTAATCACCTATAATGTCTTGTTAAGTCCTTATAAGTTAATCACCTATAATGTCTTGTGTAAGTCCTTATAAGTTAATCACTTATAATGTCTTGTGTAAGTCCTTACAAGCTAATCACTTATAATGCCTTGTGTAGGTCCTGATAAGTTAATCACCTATAATATCTTGTGTGTGTCCTTTTAAGTTAATCACCTATAATGTCATGTGTAAGTCCATATAAGTTAATCACATATAATGTCATGTGTAAGTCCTTATAAGTTAATCACCTATAATGTCTTGTGTAAGTCCTTATAAGGAATCACCTATAATTTCTTGTGTAAGTCCCTATAAGTTAATCACCTATAATGTCTTGTGTAAGTCCTTATAAGTTAATCACCTATAATGTCTTGTGTAAGTCCTTATAAGTTAATCACCTATAATGTCTTGTGTAAGTCCTTATAAGTTAATCACTTATAATGCCTTGTGTAAGTCCTTATAAGTTAATCACCTATAATGTCTTGTGTAAGAACTTATATGTTAATCACCTATAATATCTTGTGTAAGTCTTTATAAGTTAATAACCCATAATATCTTGTGTAAGTCCTTATAAGTTAATCACCTATAATGTCATGTGTAAGTCCTTATAAGTTAATCACCTATAATATCTTGTGTAAGTCCTTATAAGTTAATCACCTATAATATCTTGTGTAAGTCCTTGTAAGTTAATCACCTATAATGTCATGTGTAAGTCCTTATAAGTTAATCATCTATAACGTCATGTGTAAGTCCTTATAAGTTAATCACCTATAATATCTTGTGTAAGTCCTTATAAGTTAATCACCAATGATATATTGTGTAAGTCTTTAATAGTTAATCGCCTATAATGTCTTGTGTAAGTCCTTATAAGTTAATCACCTATAATGTCTTGTGTAAGTCCTTATAATTTAATCACTTATAATGTCTTGTGTAAGTCCTTATTAGTTAATCACCTATAATGTCTTGTGTAAGTCCTTATACGTTAATCACTAGTAATGTCTTGTGTAAGTCCTTATAAGTTAATCACCTATAATATCTTGTGTAAGTCCTTATAAGTTAATCACCTATAATGTCTTGTGTAAGTCCTTATAAGTTAATCACCTATAATGTCTTGTGTAAGTCCTTATAATTTAATCACTTATAATGTCTTGTGTAATCCTTATAAGTTAATCACCTACAATGTCATGTGTAAGTCCCTATAAGTTAATCACCTATAATATCTTGTGTAAGTCCTTATAAGTTAATCACCTATAATATCTTGTGTAAGTCTAAATAAGTTAATCACCTATAATGTCTTGTTAAGTCCTTATAAGTTAATCACCAATAATGTCTTGTGTAAGTCCTTATAAGTTAATCACTTATAATGTCTTGTGTAAGTCCTTATAAGCTAATCACTTATAATACCTTGTCTAGGTCCTGATAAGTTAATCACCTATAATATCTTGTGTATGTCCTTATAAGTTAATCACCTATAATGTCATGTGTAAGTCCTTATAAGTTAATCACATATAATGTCATGTGTAAGTCCTTATAAGTTAATCACCTATAATTTCTTGTGTAAGTCCTTATAAGTTAATCACCTACAATGTCATGTGTAAGTCCCTATAAGTTAATCACCTATAATATCTTGTGTAAGTCCTTATAAGTTAATCACCTATAATATCTTGTGTAAGTCTAAATAAGTTAATCACCTATAAGGTCTTGTTAAGTCCTTATAAGTTAATCACCAATAATGTCTTGTGTAAGTCCTTATACGTTAATCACTTATAATGTCTTGTGTAAGTCCTTATAAGCTAATCACTTAGAATGCCTTGTCTAGGTCCTGATAAGTTAATCACCTATAATATCTTGTGTATGTCCTTATAAGTTAATCACCTATAATGTCATGTGTAAGTCCTTATAAGTTAATCACATACAATGTCATGTGTAAGTCCTTATAAATTAATCACCTATAATTTCTTGTGTAAGTCCTTATAAGTTAATCACATATAATGTCATGTGTAAGTCCCTATAAGTTAATCACCTATAATATATTGTGTAAGTCCTTATAAGTTAATCACCTATAATATCTTGTGTAAGTCTAAATAAGTTAATCACCTATAATGAATTGTTAAGTCCTTATAAGTTAATCACCAATAATGTCTTGTGTAAGTCCTTATAAGTTAATCACTTATAATGTCTTGTGTAAGTCCTTATAAGCTAATCACTTATAATGCCTTGTGTAGGTCCTGATAAGTT